AACTTGCTAAATGTCAGAATAACATGGATGTACACTGCTCAAAAAAATAAAGGGAACACTCAAATAACACATCCTAGATCTGAATGAATGAAATATTCTCACTGAATACTTTGTTCTGTACAAAGTTGAATGTGCTGACAACAAAATCACACAAAAATCATCAATGGAAATCAAATTTATTAACCAATGGAGGCCTGGATTTGGAGCCACACACAAAATTAAAGTGAAATGTTCCCTTTATTTTTTTTGAGCAGTATATTTTTTACTTCCTTCAAATTCAAAAGTTTAGATTATATTTATTTAATATTTGGTATAAATGTATTTTAAACCACATGACTTTGGCCATCCTTTCACACATTTCTCCCAATAGTTTGCTTAAATTCAGAGCCATTCTTGATGATAGATCTGGTGTAATTGAATCTTGTTTTTATGTTGCCCTCCTAACAAATTTTCTATGGAAATGAGATCAGGCCTTTGTGATGGCCATTTCAACATATTGACTTTGATGTAAATATGCTACTTTGTAAGTAATACCCCAGTATGTTTGGAGTCATTTTCAATATGGAAGATCAAACTTTAACTTTCTGGTTGATACCTTTAGATCAGTGTTCCTCAAACTTTTTCAGGCTGAGGACCACTTAACCCATTTATCAAACGCTCACGGACCACCTAACCTGAAATTGCCCCGTAACAACACATATTAATATATTATGCAACCCAAAATGAAAATAATAGTCTCTTAACTCACGTATTGTTATTTTCTTTGTTCATCTTAATGAGAAGAGTGGTGCTGTTTGGTAAATCTAACTGGCCACAACAAAGCAACAAAGCATCTACTTCAGCATTTTGAGTTATTTACAGATTCTGAAAGTTTTCCAATGATGTCAAACACATAGAAATAAAAATAAGAAGTTGTTCTTTACTACCAAGTGTTGTGTGTATTAATAACATTCAGGGCTATTTGTGATTTAGAAGCACAATTAAAGAAAATTAGATCTGAGATGCTTTAACAGAAACAAATTATTTTCTGCACCATTAAATATAAAAATAATTAAACCATTTCCTAGCAATTGTATTTATTTATTGTACTTATTTAATTTAATATTTTAATAAAATAAAAATGACAATAGCTGTTGACCTGAAAGCAGAGCATCATTCTTTACCAAGCAAAGTCATAAAAAACAAAGGACAGTTCTGACTAACTGCAGCGATTCCTACCACTAACCTTTCAAAGGAATCCAGTCGTTAGGGAATGACTCATCAATACTCAGCAGCCATCACTCAGCTTCCTCTGATCATATAGTTTTCCTGGAGTAGTTTTCTTTCCACTAGTATCTCCAGCTGTTCTTTTGAGTGACCCAGTTTTAAGCCAGTTTTCCATCATAATTTTTAACACAATCCTTTGGTAAGCTAGCTGTAGCATTATGGCAAGCCGTTTTAACATAAATTTGGTTTATGTTAATATTGGAGATATTCCACATATCTCCAATTGTTTTATGACTAGACATTTTAGCGATTTAAGATATCTCTAATTATATTTTGACTAGACAAAATAACTATTTGAGATATCTCTAATTACATTCTGACTAGTAGAAATGACGTCAGATTTACCATTGACTTGTATGGAGACTTCAATTCAAGAAGTCTCCATACAGATAGAAATTCATTGTAGATATCTACAATGAATTACTGACTATCTGAAATCCACATTTCAGATATCTTCAATTAAATTATGACTAGTCATAAAGTAAATTCAAGATAACATAACATTTGAGACATCAATTGCCTTTTTTTCTGCTTCAATCTTCTCAACCTGCAGTTTTGAGTCCCTCTC